TGACTTGGCTCATTATTTTATTTGTTTTATTTATTTTTTTTTATTTTGGTTTTAAGATCAAAAAATGCACTGAAAATGAAACCTCTAAGTCAGATGCATACCGCAATTCTCTCTCTCAAGCTCTAGCATTCTTGGGTATAATTTTTAATCACTTTTGCCATTTCTGACTTGGCTCATTATTTTATTTGTTTTATTTATTTTTTTTATTTTGGTTCAATTAAGATCAAAAAAAATGCAATTTAAATGAAACCTCTAAGTCAGATGCATGCTCAGTATGTTTCCTCTCAGCTCTAGCATTCTTGGGTATAATTTTTTAATCACTTTTGCCATTTCTGACTTGGCTCATTATTTTATTTGTTTTATTTATTTTTTTCTATTTTGGTTCAATTAAGATCAAAAAAATGCCACAAAAAATGAAACCTCTAAGTCGAATGCATACTGCAGGTCTCTCTCAAGCTCTAGCATTCTTGGGTATAATTTTTTAATCACTTTTGCCATTTCTGGACTTGGCTCATTATTTTATTTGTTTTATTTATTTTTTTCTATTTTGTTCAATTAAGATCAAAAAATGCACACAAATGAAACACTCTAAGTCAGATACTCCTGCATGTCTCTCTCTCCAAGCTCTAGCATTCTTGGGTATAATTTTTTAATCCTTTTTGCCATTTCTGACTTGGCTCATTATTTTATTTTTTATTTTTTTTTCATTTTGGTTCAATTAAGAAAAAAATGCACACAAAAATGAAACCTCTAAGTCAGATGCATACTGCAGGTCTCTCTCAAGCTCTAGCATTCTTGGGTATAATTTTAATCACTTTTTACATTTCTGACTTGGCTCAATATTTTATTTGTTTTATTTATTTTTTTTCTATTTTGGTTCAATTAAGATCAAAAAAATGCACACAAAATGAAACCTCTAAGTCAGGATGGTACTGCAGGTCTCTCTCAAGCTCTAACATTCTTAGGTATAATTTTAATCACTTTTGCCATTTCTGGCTCTTTTTTATTTGGCTCATTATTTTTTTTATTTTTTTTCATTTGGTTCAAGATAAGATCAAAAATGCAAACCTCTAAGTCAATGAATACTTTCTCTCAAGCTCTAGATTCTTGGGTATAATTTTAATCACTTTTTTGTTCTCTCATTGCTTTATTTGTTTTATTTATTTTTTTTCTATTTTGGTTCAATTAAAAAAAATGCACACAAAAAATGAAACCTCTAAGTCAGATGCATACTGTCTCTCTCATCTTTCTTGGGTATAATTTTTAATCACTTTTTGCCATTTTGATTTGTATTTTATTTGTTTTTTTTATTTTTTTCATTTTGGTAAGATCAAAAATGCACACAAAAATGAAAACCTCTAATCAGATGCATACTGCAGGTCTCTCTCAAGCTCTAGCATTCTTGGGTATAATTTTTTAATCACTTTTGCCATTTCTGACTTGGCTCATTATTTTGTTTGTTTTATTTATTTTTTTTCTTTTGGTTCAATTGAATCAAAAATTGGAACCTCTTTTTTTCTCTCAAGCTTTTCTTGGGTATAATTTTTTTAAGATTTTGCCATTTCTGACTTGGCTCATTAAATTTTTTTTCTGCACACAAAAAATGAAAACCTCTAAGTCAGATGCATACTGGGTTTCTCTCCAGCTCTAGCATTCTTAGGTATAATTTTTAATCACTTTTGCCATTTTGACTTGGCTCCATTATTTTTATTTATTTTATTTATTTTTCTATTTTGGTTCAATTAAGATCAAAAAATGCTCAAATGCCCCTAAAATGCATACAAAGAAACCATTTCTAAGTTCTTGATGCTCATTATTTTCGTTTGGCTCATTATTTATTTTTTTATTTATTTTTTCTTTGACAATTAAGATCAAAATTTTCTAAGTCAGATGCATTGGTTCTCAAGCTCTTTTCTTGACTTGGCTTTAATCCTTTTGCCATTTTGTTGGCTCATTATTTATTTTTTATTTATTTTTTCATTTTAGATTCAAAAAATGCAAAAAATACAAAAATGAAACCTCTAAGTCAGATGCATACTGCAGGTCTCTCTCCAAGCTCTAGCATTCTTGGGTATAATTTTTAATCACTTTTGCCATTTGACTTGGCTCATTATTTTATTTGTTTTATTTATTTTTTCTATTTTTGGTCAAATTAAGATAAAAATGCACAAAAATGAAACCCCTAAATCAGATGCATACTGCAGGTCTCTCAAGCTCTAGCATTCTTAGGTATAATTTTTTAATCACTTTTGCCATTTCTGACTTGGCTCATTTATTTTATTTTATTTGTTTTTTTATTTTTCTATTTACCAATTAAGATCAAAATGCACACAAAAATGAAACCCCTGTCAGATGCATTACTGTAGGTCTCTCCAAGCTCTAGCATTCTTGGTGCAGTACTTTAATCACTTTGCCATTTCTGGACTTGGCTCATTATTTTATTTGTTTTATTTATTTTTCTATTTTGGTTTTAATTAAGATCAAAAAATGTACACAAAATGAAATTTGAAGAAAAAAAATTACCCAAGTTTTTAAAAAATAAATTTTAATCAACATTTAATTTATTTATTCTTTCTATTTTTCAGTCCGATTTTGAGCTTTCATTATCCACTTTCCTTTTCTTTTTTTTTCTTGTTGTCGTTGCTATTCTTCTTCTTCTTCTTCTTCTTCTTCTTCTTCTTCTGTCTTCTCTTGCTTTTTTCTATTTTCACTTCCTCTTTCTTTGTCAATTTATTTATTCTTTCTATTTTCAGTCCGATTTTACAGCTTTCATTATCCACTTTCCTTTTTTTTTCGTCTTGTTGTCGTTGCTTTCTTCTTCTTCTTCTTCTTCTTCTTCTTCTTCTTCTTCTTCTTCTTCTTCTTCTCTTTCTTCTTTTTTTTCTATTTTCACTTCCTCTTTCTTTGTCAATTTATTTATTCTTTCTTTTTTAATCCGATTTTTTTTCATTATCCATTTTCCTTTTTCTTTTCGTCTTGTTGTCGTTGCTATTCTTCTTCTTCTTCTTCTTCTTCTTCTTCTTCTCTGTCTTCTCTTTCTTCTTTTTTTCTTCATTTCAAGATCCTTTTCTTTGTCAATTTATTTATTCTTTCTATTTTCAGTCCGATTTTACAGCTTTCATTATCCATTTCCTTTTTTTTTTTTTCGTCTTGTTGTCGTTGCTATTCTTCTTCTTCTTCTTCTTCTTCTTCTTCTTCTTCTCTTCTTCTTCTTTTCTTTTTTTCTATTTTCACTTCCTCTTTCTTTGTCAAATTATTTATTCTTTCTATTTTTATTTATTTTACAGCTTTCATTATCCACTTTCCTTTTTTCTTTTTCGTCTTGTTGTCGTTTTTTATTCTTCTTCTTCTTCTTCTTCTTCTTCTTCTTCTTCTTTCTGTCTTCTCTTTTTTTTCTTTTTCAACCCCTCTTTCTTTGTCAATTTATTTATTCTTTCTATTTTCAGTCCGATTTTACAATTTCATTATCCATTTCCTTTTTTTTTTTCGTCTTTTGTCGTTTTGTCTTCGTTCTTTTTCTTCTTCTTCTTTTCTTCTTCTTCTTTTTCTTCTATCTTCTTCCTCTTTCTTTGTCAATTTATTTATTCTTTCTATTTTTCATTCGCCAGCTTAAGCTTTTTCATTATTAAATCCTTTTTTTTTTCGTCTTGTTGTTATTTTATTCTTCTTCTTCTTCTTCTTCTTCTTCTTCTTTTTCTCTTTTTTTATTTTCATTTCCTTTTCTTTTTCAATTCTTTTATTCTTTCTATTTTCAAACCGATTTAAATTTCTTTACTTCATTTTTCTTTTCTCTTGTTTTCGTTGCTTTTCTTCTTCTTCTTTTCTTCTTCTTCTTCTCTGTCTTCTCTTGCTTTTTTATTTTGCCTTTTCTTTCTTTTTCAGTATTTTTTTTTTTATTTTTAATTTAAACTTTTCAATTATTTAACAAAGTTTTTTTCTTTTTGTCGTTTCTTCTTCTTTCTTCTTCTTCTTCTTCTTCTTTGTCTTCTCTTTTTTTTTTTTTTTCACTTCCTCTTTCTTTTTTCAATTTATTTATTCTTTCTATTTTCAAACGATTTTTGACAGCTTTCATTATCCATTTTCCTTTTTCTTTTTCGTCTTGTTTCGTTGCTATTTCTTCTTCTTCTTCTTCTTTTGTTCTTCTTCTTTCTTTCTTCTTTCTTTTTTTCTTTTCAAAAATTTTTCAATTTATTTATTCTTTCTATTTTCAGTCCGATTTTACAGCTTTCAAACATCCTCTTTCCTTTTTCTTTTTCGTCTTGTTTCGTTGCTAAATTCTTCTTCTTCTTCTTCTTCTTTTTCTTCTTTTTTTCTTTTAGTCTTTTTCTCTTTTTTTCCTTTTTTATTTTTCTTTCTATTTTCAATTCGAAGGCAATATTTTTTTTTTTTCTTTTCGTTTATTTTTCTTTTTTCTTCAAATGTTTTTCAAACAATCTCTGTCTTATCCAAAAAAACTTCCTCTTTTTTTTTTTTTTAATCTTTCTTTTTCATTATTTTTCTTTTCTTATTTCTTCTTTTTCTTTCTTCTTCTTCTCTTCTTCTTCTTCTTCTTCTTCTTTTCTTCTTCTTCTTTCTTCTCTTGTTTTTCTTTTTCAATTCCTTTTCTTTATTCTTTCTATTTTCAGTCCGATTTTACAGCTTTCATTATCCACTTTCCTTTTTTTTTCGTCTTGTTGTCGTTGCTATTCTTCTTCTTCTTCTTCTTCTTCTTCTTCTTCTTCTTGTCTTCTCTTGCTTTTTTCTATTTTCACTTCCTCTTTCTTTGTCAATTTATTTATTCTTTCTATTTTCAGTCCGATTTTCTTTCATTCTCCATTTCCTTTTCAAAACGTCTTTTGTCTTTTCTTCTTCTTCTTCTTCTTCTTCTTCTTCTTCTTCTTCTTCTTCTTCTTCTTCTTCTCTTGAAAGAACAAACCAGATCCCATTTCTTTGTCAATTTGTTTATTCTTTCTAATTTTATCTGTCTTTTTATTTTTCAAAGTTTTTTTTCGTTGCTTTTGATGTTGATTCTTCTTTCTTCTTCTTCTTCTTTTCTTCTTCTTCTCTGTCTTCTCTTGCTTTTTTATTTTTTTCAGTTTCTTTGTCAAATTTTTTTAATCTTTCTATTTTCAGTCCGAAAATAAAAGCTTTTTATCCAAGTTTCCTTTTTGAAAAATTCTTTGTTGTCGTTGCTATTCTTCTTCTTCTTCTTCTTCTTCTTCTTCTTCTTCTCTGTCTTCTCTTGCTTTTTATATTTTCAATTCCTCTTTTTTGTCAATTTATTTATTTCTTTCTTTTTCAAAAGGATTTTACGCTTTCATTATCCACTTTCCTTTTTCTTTTCGTCTTGTGGTCGTTGATATTCTTTTCTTCTTCTTCTTCTTCTTCTTCTTCTTCTTCTTCTTCTTCTCTGTTTTTTTTTTTTTCTTTTTCATTCCTTTTCTTTGTCAATTTATTTATTCTTTCTATTTTCATAATCCGAATTACAGCTTTCATTTATCCACTTTCCTTTTCTTTTTTTTTTCTTGTTGTCGTTGCTATTTTCTTCTTCTTCTTCTTCTTCTTCTTCTTCTTCTTCTTCTCTGTCTTTCTTTTTTTTTCTATTTTCATTCTCTTTCTTTAAATTTTAATTTATTTTTTCTTTCTATTTTCAGTCCATTTTACATTCATTCACTATCCACTTTCCTTTTCTTTTTTTCGTCTTGTTGTCGTTTTTCTCTTCTTCTTCTTCTTTTCTTCTTCTTCTTCTTCTCTCTTCTCTTGCTTCTTTTCCTATTTTCCTTCCTCTTTTTCTTTGTCAATTTTTTTATTCTTTTTATTTTCAGTCCGATTTTAAGCTTTCATTATCCACTTTCCTTTTTTTTTTCGTCTTGTCTATTGTCGTTGCTATTCTTCTTCTTCTTCTTCTTCTTCTTCTTCTTCTCTTCTTCTCTTTTTTTTTATATATTTATATGTCTTTCTTTGTCAATTTATTTATTCTTTTTCTTTTTTCAGTCCGATTTTACAGCTTTCATTATCCAATTTCCTTTTTTTCATTTTCGTCTTTTTTTCGTTGCTCTTCTCTTAATTCTTCTTCTTTTCTTCTTCTTCTTTCTTCTTCTCTTTTTTTTTCTATTTTTTCAAATCCTCTTTCTTTTAAAAGTTTTTATTTATTCTTTCTATTTTTCAGTCCGAAGACAGCTTTCTTTATCCATTTTCCTTTTTTTTTCGTCTTGTTTCGTTGCTATTTTCTTCTTCTTCTTCTTCTTCTTCTTCTTCTTCTTCTTCTTCTTCTTCTTCTTCTTCTTTGCTTTTTTCTATTTTTCACTTCCTCTTTCTTTGTCAATTTATTTATTCTTTCTATTTTTCAAAAGCCTTTAATTTAATCATTATCCACTTTCATGAAATTTTTTTCGTTCAAATTCTTCTTTTTCTTCTTCTTCTTCTTCTTCTTCTTCTTCTTCTTCTTCTTTTTTTTTTTCAATCCCTTATTTGTTGTTGTTCTTTTTTTTACTCCGTTTCTTCCATCCTTTTTAATGTCTTCCTTTCCTTTGGCTTCATTATCTCCTTCACCATCCGGCTCGCTTTTTTTCTTTTTCTTCATTATTTATTATTTACTACTTTTTAATTGTGTTTCCTTCTTTTTGTCTTCTATTTCTTTTCTAACTTCTCTGCGTTTTCGTCTGCTTCTTATTTCTCTTCTTTTTCGTATCATTCCATTTTATTGTTGTTGTTGTTGTTGTTCTTCTTCTTCTTCTTCTTTTATTTTCTTCCTTTGTTTCTATTTTGCATGTTCAAGTTTTCCTTTTTTTCTACTTCTCAGCACATTTTATCTAAAACATAAAAAAATCAAACATTGGCTAAAATGTAAAACTAGATTATTAATGAAAATATAAAAAGAGAAATGCTTCGTCTCGCCTGGCTTAATTATCAGCCTTCAGTCAAATTCTTTAAGCCACTCAGTCCAATTTAACACATTCTAAGGATTCTCTTTGGAAAGTTGAATCTAATTACTTCCCTTCTTATCTTATTACACAAATATTTAGCGCGACATTCCAAGTTTTGTCAGTAAAACTTTGATTCTTAGTTGGAAAACTTTACCTCCAAAGACAGCTCCGAATTTATAAGCATCACTTAAACATTGACATTTACCGTTAATTTTTTAAATGTATCGTTGTAGAGACGAAATCTCTCAGAGGTGATATTATTCTATATTCAAAACTGTACATCGTCAGTTAATATCAGCGTGTGCGTAGGAGTCATAGTCGCAAGTATTTATAAAAATGTCTGCCTCTGTATCTATCATCTTGAGTGAGTGCTTATATATTTACGTGTCGTCACGTTTGCTCAGGTGTGCACATCACAAGTGCAGCTGGGTCGGCTACGTATCTGCATAGCGATGAGAATCACTGTCATAATATGAGGTGCACATTCTTTTTTTAACCTGCTGAAATTTTTTTAATTTAATCGTATTTGAATAGAACTTGGTATATTTTGTTGCAGTTTTTTTGTGTATATTATGTAACTAGTGAGCTAGCCCAAATGACTTGACTCACTTTATAGTCCACCAATAGATTGTTAACCAATCAGAAGACGTAGAATATTCAATCCGTAATGTATAAAGGCGGCCATTTTGTTTACTCTATCCAAATGTCCAGTGCCAGCTTGTCAGGCGAAGAGGAACAGAAGGAAGAACTACGCCCTGCTACTTTACCGGGATATCCACTGCTAACCTGAACAATGCTTTCCTACTGTCTTCGAAATATTCACTGCTAACCTCTGGATTCTATGCTCAAAGACGACCGTCATCATGAACAACATATCTCAAGTTCGAACCTTTCTAGAGTCTTCGCCAAACTCATTTTATGGCTCCTGATTATAACTTTAAATTTCTTCTTTCTTTCCTTATTCTCCTCGACGCTTAATTTGTTCCCCGCCATTATGCATTTTCATGCAACTGAGGCACATAGGGGGGATAACAATTTGAATGGGGGTGGCCCTGAAAAGGGTCGTTTTTTCCTTCTTAATCTTATTTCAACCAGCAGCAATTGATAAGGCGTTTCTCCTTAACCGTTTAGTCCTTTGATCAGCAATTTCAGCCTCACGCGCAGCAGCAGTTGAAGAAGCGTTTCTCCTCAGCCGTTGATTCATCTGACCATCATTTTCAGCCTCGCACGAAGAAGACTTCAGGTATTCTCTTCTGGAAAGCCGATGACTACCTTGATCTTCGGACTCAGTGGATTCTGAAAGGCATTTTGAGACAGACAAACTAAACGTTCTAAAGACGATTCGTTATCTCTTATTCGCATGGCGGACCTGGCGGCAAATTTTTTCGACCTAAAAATCCTTTTTTTGATGGCATGTTTTAATCAAGTAAGAATTGTCAAATGGAATGCGTGGGCAAATATCAGAAGAGAACGCTGTAATGCTACAAAGATCACTAAGTTTGAAAGGTTGGGGAAAATAAATACTGAGTAATAAAAAAGCAATTTAATTCTTCCTACGGTGAATGCAATATTTCAAAAAAAAAAAACTGGCAGGACAATAAAAAAATAAATTAGGAACGGCTATAAAAGACAATTCTCTCTTTATTTAAAACTGTATTGTCAGGCTTTATGCAAAATTTAAAAATTTTTTAACCTCATTTTGAGAGAGGTTGAACGCTTTGTCAAAGAAGTACAATTTTTTTTGGACTCAAAACTGGGTTGAAAATTATCTGCAGAAACAAAAAAAATTCATCGAAATCAGATGAAAAAAAAAAAATTTGCCCCATCACAAGTTGTAACAGAAATTATTAATTTTCCAATTATAGATATAAATCAATGTTAAAAAAGAACACTGTTAACTTTCCTTTGGATGCAATACAACGCTGATCCATATATGATCATAGAGGAAAACGTTGTACCCAAGGATACTAACTTGTGTATACAATCATACAAATGTTAACACCTTGTTATGTATAATGATATGATCCATGTTTTCTATCCTATTATATAAAATCATACAGTAAAACGATGACTCCAGATTACCATCTTGTTATAAACAATCATACAGTAAAACATTGATTCATGATTACCACAGTTATATCCAACCATGTCGTAAAACGCTGAATGATGGTAATTAACATTGACCTATGGTTATCACCCCGTCCATTAAAATTATACAGTAAAACGTTGACCTATGGTTAACAACCCGTCCAATAAAATCATACAGTAAAACTTTGATCTATGGTTACCAACCAGTTATATACAATCATGCATTAAAGCACTGATCCACAAGATCAACCAATACAATCATCTAGCTAATAAAACGTTGATTTATATTAAGACCCGTCCCAATAAATCATACGTTAAAAACGTTGATTTTGAGTTAAAAACCCGACCAATACAATCATACAGTAAAACGTTGATCTATAGTTAAGACCCGTCCAATACAATCATACAGTAAAACGTTGATCTATAGTTAAGACCCGTCCAATATAATCATACAGTAAAACGTTGATCTATAGTTTTTTATAATCATACAGTTAATTTGATACAATATTTAAGTTTACACAATATAATCATACAGTAAAACGTTGATCTATAGTTAAGACCCGGCCAATACAATCATACAGTAAAACATTGATCTATAGTTAAGACCCGGCCAATACAATCATACAGTAAAACGTTGATCTATAGTTAAGACCCGTCCAATACAATCATTGAATCAATTAATAATCTATAGTTAAGACCCGTCAAATAAATCATACAAAGTAAAACGTCGATCTATAGTTAATCTCAATATTTCATACAGTAAAACTTTTTCAATATTTAAACACCCATTTAATATAATCATACAGTAAAACGTTGATCTTTAAACCCGGAATACAATCATAAAGTAAAACATATCTATAAAGACCCATCCAATACAATTATACAGTAAAACGTTGATCTATAGTTAAGAACCGTCAATAACGTCATATGGTTGATCTGATGTCCGTCAATACAATAAAAGTAAACGTTGATCTATAGTTATTGAATAATATAATCATTTTATATTTAACGTTGATCTATAGTTAAGACCAGTCCAACAGAATCATACAGTTTAATCCATTGATCTATTGTTTCAAGACCCGGCCAATACAATCATCATTAAAAATTTGATCTATAAATTAAATTCAATCATACAGTAAAAACATTGATCTATAGTTAAGACCCGGCAATACAATCATACATAGGCAAACGTTGATCTATAGTTAAGACCCGTCAATAAAATCATAATTAAACTTGATCTATAATTGAATCCGTCCAAGTTCAATCATAAAAAACGTTGAACATAGTTAAGTTAGATAATAAAAATGATAATAAAACGTTGATCTATAGTGAAACCCAGTCATTGCAATCATACAGTAAAACGTTGATCATTATAGTAAATGCTTCATATGTGAAATAGACACCCAAATTTTATTTAAAATACAAACTGTCTATATAATAACGTTTAAAGTAATAAAAATATCAGTTTAAAAATAAACCCGTCTTTTTTGAGGAATCTATATAAAATGGTTTTGTCGTCGTTTTTTTAATTTTTTTTAAATAGAATCATTCCGGCAATTCAGCACCGGCCCGGCCCATTTAGTCTCTTTAGAAAATGCTATGTTTACCTTTAGGAGACAAAACTGAGCCGATATGGGATTTTGAGAAAAATAATCTGATTGGAAGGTATGTGTTTTCCTAAAAAAATATATAACCTTGCTGACTGTGACGTTCTCCGTGACTAAGCGGTAAATCACGACGGATGAAGAGGTGGTTTCCTCTACAAAAGAGGACGCGTGTTCAATTTCCGCCTGAGAACACATTATCTTTACTAAGTGCGCAGGTCGATATGCGTAATATAGACTGTTTAATCTCTCTATATACAGCTGTAGCCTCTGCCTGTCTGTTATGGAACTCCTCCTTGGTTTTTGGAGATAGACATCCCGTAACCATATATATTCTGAAATTATATTACCCAGAATACTTGGATAGCTATATTTCACTTTGATCAAAGGATGTCTCCGGGGGACACAAACAACTAACTGATTTTTTTCTCCCTTTGATTCAAATTAAATATAAATTTTGACAAGAGAATATAAATGACTTCCATCCACAACATAGAAGGAAAAATCCAGAAAATGGAGGTCACATCGGCAAGATCATTTTGATCAAAGTGGGTTCCTGAAAAACACAAACAGCCCACTGAAATTGTTTTCTCTTTGATTTAAATTAAATTTAAATTTGTGGAAAGAAACAAATCCTAGGGTACTTGAATAAGTAGATTTCATTTTGTTCAAAGGGGGGTCCCTGGAGAGGGGGGCACAAAACACCCACTGTTTTTTTTCCCTTTAAGTTAGATTAAATTTAACTTTTAAAAAAAATGACATAAATCCAAAATATAGAAGGAAAAGCCAGAAGATGAAAGGTCACATTGGCAAGATCATTTTTCTAAGATTGAAATGCATCATTTTTCTCCATTGCTTATATATATATATATATATATATATATATATATATATATATATATATATATATATATATACAGAGTATAGGAGAACTAATCTGTCTTCAAATCTGTAGAGAAGAGTGCGGAAAAAAAAACAATATTTCACAAGAATTTGTGTTAATTCACAGATAATAATAAAAGAACTGTACATAGCTCTGATCACTTAGGCTTTGAAGAGATATGATATAAAAATAAAATAATTAGCTAGAAAAAACAGTTCTGAGGAACCAAGACATTTTTATGTTGGGTTATGTATAAATGAAATTACATTATCATCCTCAAATGTTTCGAGTGAATCTTTCTGTAAGTAACAGCATATTTGTTTTGTAAATAATTCTACTTTTTTAAGAACGAACACACGCCTGTCAGTGTGGTTGTTTTAGATAAGAATCTTTTTCATAAACTTCACTATTTTTAGATATACCGCAATTTCTCGCATTCGCGCCGTTTTATCATTTCCACGCTTTTCCGCCATTTTCTCGCTTTCCTGTCATTACTTCACTTCCTGCCATTTTACTGATTTTCCAACCATTTCTGCGATTTTGTGCCAAGAAATATTGCCTCATTTTCTCACGATATAATAACATAACGTCTGCGATATCCGGATTCACCTGAAGAAATGATGATTATTTGAATACGAACTACTCTTCGAGAAGATCAACAGTGCCTGATTTCTCTTAAATTCTTTGACCGATATTTTTAGCATTCTAGAAGATTTTTCTTCAAAGATACATCACCTCGTCTGATTAAATTTCATTACATACATGCATACATATGATCTCTCTTAAATATATATATAAATATATATATATATATATATATATATATATATATATATATATATATGTATCTTTTAATGCTGGCTATATATATATATATATATATATATATATATATATATATATATATATATAATATTTATATATATATATATATATATATATATATATTGCTATATTGGGGAAAATCAAAATTTTTAAATGAAAAAAAAAATTTCCGAAAAGAATTTTTTAAGTTGAAGTTCTCTAATAAAAACAGAATTCAAAAAAAAAAAAAAAACAAAAATTTCATCCAGGTACATACACAACAAATACTAAATGAAGGTCAATTTTAAATTTAACACAAAATAATACACCTTTCTAATATATATATATATATATATATATATATATATATATATATATATATATATATATATATATGTAACAAATATATGGATATAGATCCGACAGTATGAAGAAAAATATACGGAAAAAACAAACAAAAATCCTATGCAATTATGCTGTTTGAATGCTTGACAAACGTATATATAAGTTTTAGATTAAAATAAAATTCTTATCATTTTTCATTCAAAATACTCTATTTTAGGAATACGTTTTCACAACATCGCCCACGTGACGCCGACGTGACGCCGACGTGATCATATTAAAACGGAACGCTGATCTTATAAAAGATTTCAGTTTTCTGTTTGGATTGATCTTGCTCTTATGTCCATCGTCTTTTCATGTTGAATTGAATATAGTCTAATGTTAATTATGTTTTATGAATATGTCCTGAAGATGGTCTACTAGACCGAAACGTCCGACGACGTTGACATTTTATTAATATTAAAACAGCATAATTGCATATTAGGATTTTTGTTTGTTTTTTTATTTTTTCTTCATATATTTATATATATATATATATATATATATATATATATATATATATATATAACATATAAAATTTTATATATATATATATATATATATAATCGTCATTCCTGGTAAAAGGTAATTCAATTTTTGTCTCTCATCATTAAAAATCACAGGACATTTTCTACATAGTTTTGTCTTTCATTCTGTCTTGAAGAAGCCGAAACCAACAGACGTCTGTGAAATGCGTCGTTTATAAGCTTTCCACCTTTTCTCATCATCACTTCTGTTTCAAATACTATTTATCAACCCACACACATTCTCTCTCTCTCTCTCTCTCTCTCTCTCTCTCTCTCACACACACACACACACACACACACAAATGCATACATAAACAAACCCAGACTTATACACAAAACTATATGTAACAACAAAAATTGTCCAAATCGTGTAAAAGCTAACTTGTCCATTTGTCAGTTTAAGATTTGAACCGATGTGTCTTAGAAACGATTAAAGATATCTTACTGGAATTCTACGTGGTTTCCATAACCCTAAAGGACTCTACTTTGATTAATAAGAATGTATAATTACTTTCCAAGCTTAACAGAAGAATCGTGATAAATTCGATCATAAATGAAAGTTCATCATTGATTAATCATAGCTAAGGATCCGAAGCTCATGAATTATTGAAATAAAGTTGAAACATATATGCATTATCCCGGGATCATTTTCTAACTTATTCAAGATGACCTTCGTCCTTTCTAACCTTCTGGGAGGGTGGGGAATCGTCGTCGTGATGTCATCGTGCTAACGCAAACATAGATGCATGTCCGTACACCCGATGAGCTACGCAGACACACATACACACTTGCTCGTCCGCCGGGACTCATACAGATATAAACATATGTGGACAGTTTCGGATATGACATATGTATGTATATGGGTGATGCTGTGTCTATACATACGCATTTGTATGTTGAAATTCAAAGATTAGAAGTGTAGCGAAATTTTCTCCCATAATAACACCAATACACGAAATCTACATAAACCCAAATTTTAAAAAAATTAATCAGTT